TTGAAGGTTAGCTGCGGAGCCCATTTCGAAGATTCTACTCGGTCAGTTTGCTCCGGTTGGAGGGTAGGTTGAGGACTTTGGGGGATGGATTCAACCTCATTAACAAGTTGCTGTTCGGTCGATGTAGATCGGGCGCGTTTGGAAGGGTGAGATGAAGAAGGCTGCTGAGAAGGGAGGGCCACAACGGTAGGTTGCGTTTCTAAGGATGGTTGCACTTCGGCCCTGGTTGTTGCGGTCAGAAGGGCCCTCACTCTGCTTTTCTTCGCCATCTCTTCTTCAACAGTTAATGGGACAAGTCGTATTTCGGGCAAGTTTGGGTCCGGTTCTGGTGCTTCCTCAAGAAGGAAATCGGTCACTCGGGCCTTTCGACGACCGCTATATCGGTATGTCGGTTCAAAGCAGAGAAGCTTGGCCCAACTTTTTTCTTTACACCGTAGTGCGGCTCGCAAAATCGCAAGGTTGGGATAGCTATATAGGGAACGGAGGTGGGCGAAATCTGCAAAAGGAGAACTGTTAGTTCGGTTAATAGACTAAAAAAAACCGAAATAAAATACAAGGAAGAAGACCGAAGTAAATTACGGGCTCTCTCTTTTTCCAATTTTTATAGGTCGGCCAGGAATTTGGGCTTGAAAATCCAAGTTCCCAGAGACCCAGAAAAAATCGTCGTCATTAAGTCTTTGTCCGTGTGTATTTAATTATCTTCTCTCGGCGGCGGCGATCTAAGGTAATAAGACCACCCATCATCTTTTGAGCCGATGGAGTATTGATGAAAATTCGGCGAGCCAAGATTTAGTCCGGTTTGGTGTTCAGTGCGGCTATTCCCATTATAATGCGGTATGTATTGGTGGAACAGTTGGGTGGGGCATATCTAGTCTGCCTAAGAATTTCACAGATCAACGGTTGGACAAGGAAACGTAGTCCGGTTCTATTATGGATTGAAGGGTAAAAGGGACGTAGCCTTCTTTTTCCCAGGGAATACATCTTTTTCGGCCAACATCAGATGGATATCATCAGGAATATGGTAATCTTTCCTAAATTCGGCCATACCACAGGGGTCTCGACTAGATACCTATACTTACCCATCTGATGTATAATTTACTTAATTTATATCGGTGCAAAAATCGTGCTCAGTAGCTCGGTTGAGCGCACGCAAGAGTGCCTGGTAACCTAAGTCTGCAAAGTAGAAAACAGATGGGGTTAAAGCACTGATCATTGGACTGTGCTACAATTTAAAAGCAGTATAAGAGCCCTACTTCGCCTCAAAAACTGGTTCTATCTCGGTTCATCAAAAGGTTTGGTAGTCCGGTTTGAGCAGGTTGCTCGTTAGACCGGTTTATCGTCTAGGGCCAGCTTTCTGAGTTCGGTCTAAAAACTAAGAAAGCTGGTTTAGCCCCAAGGCCTAAATCGTTGTAGTGTGAATAAAGTTACTTCGGTTAAGCCTTAGGGCAGCTTTCTGATTCGGTTTAGAAACTAAGAAAGCTGGCTTGGCCCAAAAGCTTAGTTCGGTTGAAAACCAAGGTTCCTAGTTTGATATGTTCAAAACTCGGTGATCTTATTTCGGCTAAGTGAGTCAGGCGTTGGTGACTCTTTGAGACTCTCAGTTCTAATTCGCTATTGACTACAGTGATCTACCTATTTAGGCAAACAAGATCCTAGTTCGGTTGCTACCTAATTTTGGATCTAAAGGCAAGTTTTTTTACAGAGTTCATGCACGTTGAGCTCTGCTATATTTTTTCATAAAAGTACAGAAGCAAAGCGACAAATGAAAGAAAATGTTTAACAAAGCATACAAACAAAGTATACAGTACGAAAGCAAGACAAAGGAAGCAAAATAAGTTTACTTACCGAGGTTGAAGAAGGGGGATCCGATGATGGGAAAAGTGGCAAGCAAAATCAGTCTTCAGAAAGCAACGAAGAACAGCAAAAAAACACAGATAGAGAAGATGAAGAAGTGGAAGTGAATGATTCAAGAAAAGAAAGGTTATTTTGTGAGAGATGAGAGAGAAAAAGCGGCAAAAAGGGCGGACTGTTCAAAAGTTCGAAGTACGAAGGTGCGTGATAACAGTTCACAGCCTATCAGAGCCCCCGCGTGCAAGGGAAAGGAAGCGTTACAGTCATGATTGAAGAGACGTTTTGACCGACATAGTGAACCCGAAGTAA